GGGCGATATGCTGACTCTGTAAACCGCTTAGAGAGGGCTGAAAGCCCTATGAAGCGGTATATAAGTCTAACTGCTATTGCTATTGCTAAAAGACTCCCTTCTGCATTTATATCCCAAATAATTTCTTTCCTTCTATATTCACTTCCTATCACTTCGTTAGAGGCTCCATGGTTAGCTTCTTCCACTTCTATTCCTTCCCACAATAAGGTTTGAAGAGGAATAAAACACCAGATTAAAAATACCATCTGAAAAATTCCGAAAAGGGGATCATAGAACTGTATTAAGTCTGAAATGGAAGACCTCACTATTTACTTTTTAGCCTGCCAGGTAGATCCAAGGGCAACATTACCTATGTAATTACCTCTACAGCTTCTCTGAGTACATTTCTAGTTCTGTCTTTTCATTCTCAGACCTGTGAATCAGGGCAAGGACACCGGAGTAGACAGTGTCTGCTGCTACCGTAAAACTGCTACTGCTCCCGCTTTTGATCGAGTGAAGACGTATCATAAATTCATAAATGAGACCAACGGTTTCACCAAGCTGCAGAATTACAACTTGGACCCAAAGAGCCTTTTTGTTAATGGTAAGAAGCAGATATTGCTTTCATGACTAAAGAGGTTATGAGTTGGCTGGAATTGAATCGGTTCTGTTTTGTAAGTTAAGGGATAGTTCCCCTCTGTGACCCAGTGGAGAAATGCCAGAGGCTGCAAGACTTTCTTCAGGTATACCAAATTTGCGCTACTAAAATCTAGATGACCACTACACAGAAGCAGTGTTTACTGTCATTTGTAGTTTTGCAGTCCAGGCCTGCTGCCTCGGGGCTTCTGGGTGACTTTTCTTAGACTCAGGACCTTCTCAGGACCTTCTTACAAGCAACCACTAGATGGACTTTATCTAGAATTACTTCATAGGGGCTTACTAAAACTAAAGACTATTTGGGGACCTTCAGATAATTTGCAACCCTGCTATCTGAGATTTGTTGACGTCAAATAATCGGAAGTGTGTAGGGGGAATTTATTGTATCTTATTTTTCTCATGGTTGGGGGTTCAGAGAGACTTTCCATTTTAGTGTGCTCTTTTGCCTTCTTTTGTGACTCTCTTTCCATTTTTGCAATTCTCTTTCCATTTCAGATTATCATGAAGNGTCCACCTCTGCTCCGGAGCGAACATCACATACAACCATTTTGGAAAAGAGCACCATAACTACTTCTGCTAGTACACCAATGACAGCTTCCTTCTTAACTACTTCTCCACCAACCACCACATTGGAGACCACAATAACAGCAACAACCACTTCTTCCCCAGTGACCACAATGACCTCCAGCTCTACAAAGACTACTAGTTATTCAGAAATGACTACTCAACATTCTATCACCACAAAGTACTTGGCTACTTCTCCAGGGGCTACCACACCTAAACAAAGTTCTCCAGCGAGTACAGTGCCTTCTACGGCATCAGTAGGAAGCAGAATAACCTCTTTTATTTCTACAACCACGACACCAACTCCAGGGATCCTAGTATCCTCCACATCTTTCCCAGAGAGCAGCACCAGAGAATCGCTTGTGACTTCCACCACCCCTTCCATTCTGGAGAGAACTACTTTGATTCCTGTAGGAGGAGAGATCTCTACTACTTCCACTTTAGTTTCTTCAGTCTCCCACCAAATGGAATCTGTTAGTCCTCCTGAGATGAGTGTGACGAGCTTGGGCCCCTTCCGGACTTCTACACCCCCTACAAATATAATATCAACTTCTACTTCAGAGACAAGGACAGGTAAGCTTCTTTTTGCAATGTGTTCTAGGCTACTCTAATTCATTCTCAGGAATTAGACGTTGCTCTGCAGTGATTTATTGCTGATCGGGTAAATAAATCACATATGGCCAGGATGTTCTGGATCAATAAGCAGTAATAAATTGCAATTATAGGTAGTTCTTGACCATTCTAAACCTCTCTAAACCATTTAAATCATTCACTTAATGACAATTTGAAGGTCCAATGGCACAAAAAAAAGTGACTTAGATTCGTTTTTCACGCTTATGACCATTGTAGCATCCCCATGGTCACATGATCAAAATTTGGATGCTTGGCAACTGGCATATATTCACGATGGGGTCATGTGACCACCTTTTGTGACCTTCTGACAAGCAGAGTTAATGGGAAAGCCAGATTCACGTAACAACTGGCTATTAACTTAACAACCTCAGTAACTCACTTAACAATTGTGGCAAGAGAGATCATAAAATGGGGCAAAACTCTTTTAACAATAACTGTGTTGCTTCGCCACAGATGTTTTGGGCTCCGAAGTGGTCGAAAGTGGAAGACTAACTGTACTTTCAAAATATGGAACCTATATCCCAGTTGCCAAACTTGTGTTACTGTAATACACAACTGAACTGAGTTCATGATATGATGTGCAAAGTGCAATGGAGGGAGGGAGTAAGGGAGGGAGGGGGGGAGGGAGGGAGGAAGGAAGGAAGGAAGGAAGGAAGGAAGGAAGGAAGGAAGGA